TATCATCAGCCTGCTCATTAATTTCCCGACGTTCAGCAGGCGACACGTGGTAGGGACGTTGCCGTAATGGTGGATAGGTACCAGTGTCGATACGATGCGTAACAGTGGACGCACGACCGAGAGAAATTCACCCGACGTCGAAAGAAGAACGATACTCTCGCAACAGGTCCAGAAGCTGGGAACGCTGTACCGACGTAAGGTTGTGATCAATGTAGGGGCCAAATACATCAGGAGATGATGAATCAGAAGTGGAAACAGCACTGATGGTACGCAAATCGGGACAACGCGAGTCATCAGGTACGTCCAGGACTTGTGCGTTATCCACTGGTTCCACTCTGCCGAGACATTCCCCTCGAACCAAGGTAACAGTGTACGGGATGGGTTGGTCACGAAAATAGTGGCGTTGCCCTGGGTGATTTGCACGGTCGCGAAAGGTATTAGCAACCCTCTCCTTCGGCAAGCACGGTCGGATGGCGAAACGAGTGCAATTGTGTCGGAGAGTTCAGAGCAGTAGACAAATACACCCATCGTGGAGCTTGGAGGCACTATGGTATCGTCTTATACAGAATCTTGCTCAGTTTCGAGGAATTGTCTTCCGGCGTCAAATGCGAGAAGGGGGAGAGTTTAATTTAGGCGGCGGCACAATGGATGACGGCGTCGTTGCGGGAGAGAAAATTTCACCCCAGGATGACGTCATGAGAGCTTGCAGGAATGATGATGAATTGGCCGACATACAGAACGTCCTGAACGACAACGCGAGCTGTGCACCCTGCTGTAGGATGGATACGATGCGAACTGGCGGTACGAAAAAACAACCCAGAAATTGGTGTCGTCACTTTTCGAAGCAAGCGGCAAAAGTTTTCGTCCATAACGCATACTGCAGCTCCTGTGTCAATAAGAGCAGATGCATGAACATCGTCCACAAGCACGTCAATGACATTAGATGGGCGGCTCTGAGGGCTTTCACAATGCGATAGCGTCGCAGCCCTTGCCTCGGGGACTGCGACGACTAGTTGTCCCGATCGTGAGCAGCTGAACTTGGCCGCATGGGGGACGGGGAACGACGTCGTGGAGACGGTGACCTACGAGAAGATGAAGCTAGGCGAGTTGGCGGTGGCATAGACGGCGTTTCGTCGTGATAGGTACGCCTGATCTGGCCAGCAACAGGCGACGAGATATGGGGCGTCTGTACGTGAGTGCAATAACGTGCTACGTGACCGGCGTAACCGCAGGCAAAGCAAATGGGCCGGTTGTCGGATGTGCGCCATCGGTTCGCCGGGGTAGGTCTTCTTCATGACGAAAGAGCCGATAGACAGAACGGTGGCTGGAAAGGCTGCAGGGGGTCCTGGAGCTGAGTCTGAGAGGTCACGTCAACATACGTAGCCGGCATACCCGCTGCAAAGGATGGAGGTCGTGCGGCAGCTTCGGCGTCAGTGGGGCGGGCGCTTGAACGACTGGAGGTGGCCTGGTGACCACTTGGGCGTAACTTGGGGGACAGGGGCCAGAAGCTGTTGTGGGTGGTACGCAGGCATGACCTCCGCTATTTCCTGCTCAATTGCTTGGCGGATGGGTGGAAAATTGGTAGTGGCCGATTGTTGAGCAGCCGGTGGGTGGGCAAAGGGCAGGAGAGAGAACTGCCGCGCGATTTCTTCACGTATGAAGTACTTGAGGTCTGCCAGCAGTGCCACCTGATCACAGCTCGCCTCCAAGCCAGCAAGCCCTGCATCTCGGGGTGTGGAGCGACGGGTCATCGAACGCTGCCGGCGGAGCTCCTCGTAGCTCTGGCACAGCGTGATGACCTCAGCTACTGTGCCTGGGTTTTTGGCAAGCAGCATCGTGAAGGCATCATCGTCATTGCCCTTCATGACGTTCCGGATCGTGTCTGATTCGGACATGCTGTCGTTGGATTTCTTGCACAGGTCCAGGACATCTTCAATGTAACTGGTGAATGATTCACCGGCCTGCTGAGCGCGTTCACGTAAGCGCTGCTCGGCTTGCAGCTTACGAACGGCAGGGCGGCCAAAAACGTTGGTGATAGCGGTCTTCAAATCGGACCAGGTTGCGAAATCGGATGCGTGGTTGTTATACCACATGCCGGCCACACCCACGAGGTAGAAAACCAGGTTGCCGAGTTTACCTACCTCGTCCCAATGATTGGGGACGCTGACGCGTTCGTACATGGCGAGCCAGTCCTCGACGTCGGTGCCATCCGCGCCAGTGAAGACAGGAGGGTCGCGGATGCGGGGGACACCGGAATATGGCGTCGGCGCAGGAGGAAGCGTTTGCTGAGCGGCGTCTTGGTGCATGGTAGAAGGCACGGTACGATATCTAAGCTCCCAGGGCATCGAATGTGAACCGAAGGTGTTTGAAGGGCACATCACTCTCCACCAAAATGTTAAGGCGTTTATTAGCCGGCACACAGCGAACATGCACAATGGCGACAGTAACGGCCAAGCACGGGCTCTTCAGCGCGAGCGGCATCCCTTTTGGGTAGACCCACTAGAAGGCACCTGAGAGTTCCACCAATTTCAGTGTTCGGAAGCTTCTCTACACTACTTATGACAAAAGCTTAGTTTATTTGGTGCCTGGGACCATGTGGATCTTTTTTTTTTCTATTCGGGCATGCCAGAGGGGCAGAACACGACAAAAATGCTTTAAGTTGCTTTAGAGATTGTCATATTAAATGAGCCGTTTACTTACACTGAAAGTATAATATAAATATTTGTTTAGGAGGGTTCGGACGTACAAGAGACTAAGATGTACAGCTTCCTGGCAAGAAAACAACATGAAAAAGCACTAATTGATGTTGACGACAGAAGTACCTCCATTCGCGCTGCGTTGAGGTTTTTCCGAGTTTCCAAGGATGTTCGCAAGAGGCACATGAAAAATCGGAATATCCTTCAACTCAAGCCGTTCACAAACACGTGTACGAATTGAGTTTTGAAGAAGTTTTTTCATAGCGATGTTTTAAATTAATAAGCAATAGAAAAATTGAAATTCGTCGCCTCACAAAGTCTAATTGACGATATTGAAAGCCAAGAATTGCTCGTGTGGTTCTGCAAAATGAAGTGAAGAAGAGGTGTCAAAACGTATTTATAGATTTCATCGCTGAATATTTTGATGAAATATAAGCGTTCAAAAAAGACAACACTAGCAAAAAGAGACTTACGGTGTTTGATTTACAAGGAGTTTCAGAGCAACAGAGGGCCTGTGTCCGTCTGCGTTCAATGCGTGGAGTGCAAAAACAGGGCTCGTGAAAACTGCGTGAGGGCCCACGGGGGGAAATTCAAGTGCCTTTACATGAACAACTTAAGAGATGAAATTTTCTTCACATCGCCTCGTTTCGCTTCACAGTCTGGGACGAAATGGGACACATGTTGCCGTTTTTGTTACATTTCATAATAAACTTTCGAACTGTGGGAGCATGAGTATATCGAAGTAGCACATGCCTTATAACGAGAGAAAAGCTTCTGCATTGCCGTTGAATCGTAACAAGTGAGTGGAGTAAAATATATATTTACTATATTAAAATTTTTGTCTCCTTTTAATCCAACCTACACAAAGTCGTGAGTTCAACATCGCCCGCGGCAGTCGCATTTTGATAGCAGCGAAATGGTAGAGATCTTTGCACGGTGCGACGTAGCTGCACGCTCAGCAACACCATACAGGTGGCCGAAATTTTGGGAGCCCTCCACTGCGGCGTCCCCTATAATCATATCGAGAACTTGGTTCACAAACCCTATATATTTTTATTCGACTGCTAACAAATGAAGAGGACAGCGAAGAAATCGACAACCCTGCCATGTTTTTTTCGTTAGTGGTCAAGATATGAAGCAACAAGCTCCAACTAGGCCAGACTGAAGTTCTGCACCTTGCCGCCAATCGCCTTGCCGGGAAGTCTTCATCAGTATCAGGCACAACGTCCATGCGTGTCATTATAGCTGAAAGTATAACGGTGCACAAAACGCGGCCTACCGCTCACCAGCCGCATGTTACCGTATATACTCGTTTAATAGCCCAACCAACAACAGTGTTAAAGAATTGACCAGAAATATACTTAATGGATGCCTGTGCGTCACCCACGCCCTTAATTTTTGAGAAGGTTAACAGTGTTATCCGCTCTGGAATTTTAATGCTTTTTTCCCTCTCTGGTTGTAACAAGTCAGCCATGGCTAATTGTCAGTGAACCACAGCCGTCAAGATGTAGCGAATGCCTTCGAAATTACTCCAAGGTGCGGCCTTTAACCAAACAAACACCGAATAAATGGCTGAATATGGCATCTCAGGCCGATGTATGCCACTGGATTCTGGAAGCGTGGGGTAAGGTATCGTTCAAGACGGCCCAGAAAAGCGTCTGGGTTACAGGAACCTCGAACCAATTAGCGAGTTCGAGGATGGAGCGAGTTAGAAAGATCAGGGCGAAAAATAAATAACATCTTCGCAACTGCGTGAAAGTCACGAACGTTGCTTCATTACGCTTCTCCCAGTACTGCCAATTACTGCGATTCAATAAAGATGGGCAACACCAAAAAGGTGCCAGAAAAAAAAAGAGTTGCCACCCCCACTCCGTATATTGGCCGCACTCAATGTCCCCCCCCCTCCCCGAATGTCGGAGTATAAAAAGCCGCGACCATTAGACGGGTATACGCGGTATTCGAGTCATGCGTCGACGCGAAGCTGCACGTCACTCCTTCCACGGCGCCGTTCGAAAGACAAGCGCGGCGTCCTTGAACTTGAAAAAACGCACCGCGCGCTTCGCGAGAGCCACGCTCAATATGTCGGCGCTCGCGAAAACTGGAGTCCGTCAGCTGAGATGGCGCCCCCTCCAAACTTCTATGAGTCACACGCGAAGGCGCATGTCGATGTATTCTCTTCGACACGACTGACGTCTCAAACTTGGCCCAAGTTCATTCTACCCTTCGGTCTTTTCCGGTCCTTGTCGAATCGCTCCCAGTTGGCCTCAAGCGAGCGTAAGAAAGAGGAATTGTTCAGCAACTCACCTGAGGAGTGGGCTCAGGCGTTCCTTCTCACTGACAGTTCGTGGGGCGCACGATTAAAAGGTTGTCGACCAAAGAGGCACTACCCGTCAAGGTGGTTGCACCTGTCCGCCGTGGTGGTGGTGGTGGCGGACGACCATTTTCTCGGCTTCGTAAGGCAAGCGCACAAGGCGACAAGACAAAAGGGTCGAAGGTCGTTTTCTGCGTGATGTCCCCCACCCGATGTTCAAAGCTCGTCGTGCCTTTCTCTTGTCGTTCACACCAGCTGTCCTCGCGTTCCAGCCACTGGACACTGTCTCTGAGACCACCCGACGCTCGCAGCTGACCACCGCCCGCTCGGCGTAGTATACTCGAGGGTGAGGTGGTGCTGCGCTGTTTCCTACAGCTGTTAGGCTGTCGTCATCATTGACGCCCGCAGCGCTGACGCTGTTGTCATCGCCTCGGTCGTCCTCGTCGTGTTCAGCAGCGTCGTCCGAGCAGGCATTCGTTGTTTACCACCGCCGACAACGTCGACGAAGCGATCCCGCCGAGTGGCAGAAGCCGCGCAGAGCGGGAGTGAAAGGTGGAGCGAGGGAAAAGCGCGCCTGCCTTTTCCCTTCTTCCACGAGGCACTCTGGCGGCCGGAATACGTCGCTGTCGGCTGCGGCCCGAGCCAAATGTCGGCGGGTATTCCAGCGCCGCGCGTTCAACTTTCGCGGTGGGCTCCACAGATGGCGCAGTCGTGCGAATGCTGCAGCAAGAAATAAAAAAAAAAGCGCGCTCCGCTCCGAACGGTGAATGAAAGGCGAGGAGATGTATTTGCCTTCTCCCCTTTCGCGGCTCACGTCGTATCTCCTTCCGAGCGCCGCCCCCTCCCTCGGTTTTCCCCCTTTTACGGAAAGAAAGGCGTAGCAGGGGCAGGTTGGTGACGTCATGAGCTCCGTTGCCGTGGCAACGGAGTAGTGCGCAGCGTAGTGGTAAAGGCGCAGGGAGAGCGGTGGTGGCAGCGCGGATGCTAGCCTGGGGCTCGTCTCCTGCGGCCCAGTCTTGTCGCTGTGTAGCAGTGTCGCTGTTGCCCGCTCTCCCCGGCTCGCTGGCGCGCGTTCTGTATCGACCGGGCTGGGAAAGGAACTACGGCGAACGGAGAGCAGCGGAGAAACATAAGAAGTGCCGCGGAGGCGGCGAGTAAATTCCACGAAAACGTGCCCTTGGTCTCTCTCTTCAGCCATTCCCTATTTGCCGATGGTGGAAGGGAAGACTGGCCATCCCGACCTTCCTAATTTCTTGTCGGCGTGACCTTTGGGAAACCTCCCCAACTAGTGTGGAATGGGTGTTCGTATATTCTCGCTCCATCCTTTAGCTTCCACGCTTCCCAATAACCCTCTCCCTTTTCGCGCACCAAGAAGGTCGCCATTGATGTGTGTGGGAGAACCGAGAGCTACTACGCGAGGGTCCAAGAGGAGGGGGACACAACATCCTTCCTTGGTCTATGTTTTCGTTCATTTTTACTTTTTACTTTGGCCTCTGTCTCAATATTTTTGGCGAGTGTGGGTACCGGCACGCGCTCGCGTCCCCGGTTCCTTTCCCTAAATTCAGCTTGCTTGTTTCTGTTGAAGGTGCTTTAACTTGGTTAGTTCCCTATCTGCAGCCACCGCTGCCTCAAGGGCAGGCGTGGCTCCCTCCCTGTTTCGACAGGCGCTATTTCCTTCACTCTGGCTGCCCGTCGATGGTCAGCTGGAAGTCGTCGTTTTTTCTATTCTTATCAATCCTCAACTCCACCACCTATATCTCCACATGCTCCCCCCCGTCTCGCTTGTTGTTGAATGCTTGTGTTGTGGCACCTGCGTTACGAGATTATCTGGTCACCGTTTGCACCCCCCTTTTGTTCCTCACCTCCTTCCCGAATGCTGTTTCTCCACCTCCTCGAACGAAAAGTGAATCTGATTTCGCTCTACCAATCACCCATGCTGAATAAAAACAGCCTGCTTCCCAACGTAGCATAACGCTCTCCCGTTTCTTAATTCGAGAAGAAACACAGTTTCCTTTTTCTTATGTTTTTACCACCTTTTTTTGCCGGATTCCCTCGTCCTTTCTTTCAAGCCGGGGATGCCATATTGAACGCGAGAAGTGGTTGTCGGCGCAACACAAACAATGCAAAAAGTAATTTTTTTTCTAGATGACTTCGTCTGTGACATCATGACGTCACAGATTCCCGAAATACTGCACGCCGTCATGAGCTGACTTGACGTGACGCCGTCATCAAAGGACATTGCTTCAATAGATTTCTCAGGAATTCATTGAGTTTTTTTATACGAAAACTCTCTCGTAGTGAACGAACTATTTTTCACCCAGGCATTGAGTCCTCGGCCAGTTAACGCTCTCCTTGGGTGTTCACATTTTTAACAGAGCTAACAAAGTACAATGAGGGAGGTGGGATATTAGAGGGCATTTTTATCCATCTCGGTTTTCTTTTTGATATTGACATGAAGTAAGGAGATGTTGACACACAAATAAGGTGCCGGCTAATTCTTAGTTTTTTTAAATATCTAGCACAGAGCACATATGATCCTCGTATCTAAGCGTAGGAAGTCAAAAACGCACACAATACGCTATTAAAATGAAGTATTCGGGGTGTAGTTCTGCTACACAACAATAATCATGATCTGGCTTGCTCACTTTTCCTTTCTTGAAAATCCCGTGCAGGCCACTTTCCTGTCAGGAATGCCATGTCACACTGATAACATGCGCGCCGTTCGCGACTGCGAACTACCGAAACCATGGTAATATCGCCAAGAAAGTACTCGAAGCACATGACGATTATTCTTGCGTGGCAAAAGCTACCCAAATACTTCATTCTTTCAGATTGAGGTAATGGAGGTTGCTCACGTCTCTACATATCTGGTGTGACGTCATTAAAACCTACACTGTCCATAGAATTTCCTAAGTTGCACTAGAGGAAACTCAAGCGCTAGTGTCTATGGGAGTTGCAACGCACAGCGCTTCAGCGAGCTTGGGAATGAAGGGTAGTACACACATTTTTCTAATCTTCGTACTTCTGGCCTCTCAGTGTGTGTTCGTGTGGACTGGAGCTGTTTTCTCACGAAACAAACATCAGCAAATGTTCAGCGGTTGTCTTCGCCACATTATTTTATAGGCTTACCTTTTCGAATCGGGTTCAAAAAGGTCCGTTCTTTCCTTCGAAAAAAAACAACTAAACTAAACACAGTAATAAACGAAGCCGTAAGTGCGATTCGCCGCTCGCAAGTACGCAAACTAGGCAAATCTGTGTACTACCCATCATTGCCATGGTCACTGAATAATCGCAGCGCCAGAGTCCCCTATAGTTAATTTTAGGAAACCCTATGTCAGTGCCCTTCTTATGGAACTACGTCAGTGTTCGATGCGCTACCGATGGGGTTCAAGTGAGAGAATGAGCATTTAGGTACACTGTGGAAGTCAATTTTAATATATTCCAAAAGCCCTTTCAGTCGGTTTCAACAATGCAAAAGCAGCATCACGTGTTGCTTCCAAAAAAACTTTTCGTCACTTCAGTTATCACTTTCTAACACCGAACTAAAATACTAGTTTCTGAGCTTATGCTAGAGTAAGGAAATATTCCTTTTGGGCTGTTTAGTAAAAAAGAAGTCCATTGAAGTAAAGGACTAACTACTAAAGTCTTCTGTGTAGCTTAAGAGAAAGTGCATTTGAAATTTTCGGGCTAAACATAAAAAAAGTATTGAAAGTCAGGAGGTAACATGCGAAGGCTTTTGTTTAACGCCAATGCTACCACGCTACGTCGGAACCCAAAGCTACCCAGGACCTCAGAGGTCGAAATTTGATGGCACCACCCTTTTGAAGAACCAGTAAACAACCTCTGAATATGCAGACATGCAGCGAGCGTGTCACAAAGGCGAAAACTAGAGATGCCTCATCAAACGTAAAATGTTACTGTCGACGTCAGCGGCGTCATCGGGAGTGACACTAAAGATCCCGCTCATCTGACGACATCATGACATGACGCCCTCATGATACCCCATTTTTGTAAACTTCTGTGATGTCCTCAAGAAGTCAAGTTTGAGCTCAAGTGATGAAGTCAGCATATGATCGCCTGTCATGGTGGAGCAATGGTTTTGGAGCTGAGCTGCAGCCCCGAAGGTTTCAGTCACAATTCGATGGAAGTAAACTACTAAGACCCCTGTGCTGTGCGATGCGAGTGCGCGTGAGAGGACCCGAGATGGTCGAAATTTTCCGAGCCCTCCACTAGGGCGTCCCTCATAAAGATATCGTGCTTTTGGCACGTAAAGCCCCAGAGGAACGTGTGGTGTGGGACTAGTTGAATAATAACTGATTTATTATATTGATTGCTCTTTCCCCCAAGAGCAAAGCGAATGCTCCAATATTAATTATTGCCATACATCAAGGATAACAGCTTAATCATGGAATTTAACTTCTTTCTTCGGTAAACAAGCTTCACTCACACTGAAATAACACGATACGGCTCTGATGAGTGTGTCAGCGCTGCTTCCTTACACCTGTACGAGAAAGAAATTGAACTTCCTAATTGTCATGATGTTATCCACGATGTATGGTTATGTTTGATGAATAAACATGCTCTTTATTGTTGTAAAAAAGAGGCTTCATTCAAAGAAAGTAGTCTGCAGTGGTCCCGTCCACTTTGTCTTGTTTCTAGTAGTACTATAGTTTAATGCTTTCTGAAACTAGATATTTTCGTATTACGATCCCGTTATATTGCCGCTGAGTAAATGGTTGGTTGTCCAGTCGCGGAGGCACTTCAAAAAGTCGTGAAGTGCAGAAGCCTTCCAATTCATTTGACTTCGGAGGCAGTACAAAACCACGTCGGATACGGAAATATTTCGGGCGGGATCAACCCAATTTAATAAGAAGAAAAGCGAAGAAATCACCACATGGCCTTCCAGTCGTTTCAGGCGAATCCACAAGGGACGACGTGACTTTTATCTCCGGGCTTTTTCCTTTCTCCCAGCTCAATTCATGACGTCAGCAGTCTTTTCACGTGACGTAATGGGGCTACAAGCTTTAGATTGGTCCATTCACGAGGATATCAGCTAAGAATTGACTCCCACACTATCTGCTTTGCCATCAGGTCACACCCTCGTGACGCCTTATCCCACGTGGCTATCGTGCGTGATAGTGATGCGGGACAAGGCAGCATGGGCATGCTTCGCTCCGCTCCGATTTCAGTTAGTTTTGGGCGTTTTCAACTGCTCAAGTTAATATTGCGAAGTCCTCAGTGGATTAGGCCTATAAGGGACATTGCCCACGTCTTTTATGAATACGTAGTGAGGAGGCGATATCACATGTAGTAAGAGAAGATAAGGTGAGAAAGAAACCACTTTTTCATCTTTGAACTCGGAGTGCTTTAGGGGCTCCTTTAAATACAGAGTAATACTCTAACATATGCGCATATTGGCAATGATGTGCATAAATATGGGACATACAAACTTGGTGACAACTGTTCTCGGCAGTACAGTGAAGGCTATGGAGGCACAGCATCC